GCTAATGACTACACAACTACTAACAACTAGGGAAATGTCTGAGCCCTGTATATTTTCTAAATGCCTCACTCCTCTGTCTACCTCAATTGCTTCCTTCATTGGCTCTTGTTTGCCCATGACCTAAACTTAGCTGTGCCATGGGTGCACTGTCCCACCTTCTTTCTTCGAAGTATTATGGGACTGCGTGTGTTCCCAAGGTTTCAACTTTCCCCTCAGTAGAGACAGTTATTAAATTTGCATCACAAATTCATACTTCTACGGCCCACGCTTGCATTTATACTTGAATATTTCCCTGGCAGCTCCACTTTCATATGATCCACACAGCATCGTTTTCTCCTATACCGTGCATCTGTAATCCTAGTCCTTTCATGAAAGACACTTAAAGCTGTCAATCTTAAAATCCTTTCAAACCTCACCCCTCAAACAAAATAAGCTGATCAAATCTTACCGTGTTAGCAATGGCTCACATGACAACTGTCTTATTTCAGACACTACCCAACAATCCATTGCTAGAGTCCATCCATACTCTCAGGAAACCTTATGCAGGGTTGGTAAAGCTGCAAACATTTAAAGGACCATATAGCTTAAATTTCTTCCCTAGATTGTTCAAATACCTCACTTCATGCAAGACTTTTTATGGGCTGAGACTCTTGGATTATGCCTTAACTGGTCCACCTACCATTACCATGCCTTCCTATCTTGATACTTACTTAGTAAACTCAACCAAATATACCTGAGTATTTGTCCTCCCTGTTAAACTGGGTACCAGAACCTCAACTTTACAAATTCAGCACAATGGCAGGCTTAGACAATGCCTGATTCATAATGAGAACTATAATGCATATACTGCTTTTCCCAAAACTTTGCATTAAACCAGTCTTTTTAAATGTTCATTTTTAGCAGAGCAGTAAAATAGGCACACTTAGAAGATTCAAAAAATGTAAAATATCACCCTTATCTACCAAATTTAATGTGCCTAGATATTTGTCCACTCTGGTTTCTATGCCTTGAAGTAAGTAAAATTGGGATCACATGATGCTGTATATAATTTTTGCCTTATATTGAGTTTTCTCAGAGCATAGCTCTATTCCATGCTTTTACGTTACCACTGAAGTACAATTTCAAGAGTTCACTATTATTCCATAATTAGATATCTATTTTATTTTTAAAGGTTATCTTTAGTATCTATAACCTTTAGTATCTATATCTATATTCACATTAAAATATTGACCAACACCATTTCTTTAGAGGTTTTATACAGTCTAAAAGGATGAAAGTTTTAAGCTTATGACCCATATTGTCTAATTACTTTCCAGAAGAGCGGAACCAACGGCCTCTTTAACTGACAGCACATAAGAGCGCTCACTCACCAACTGCAGAATTCTCAAAAGCGCCTTCAGTGTCCTCCACTCCAATTCTTCTGCACTTCACGGGCCACTTCCAAAGACACAGTTTTGACGACAAGTGCTCAAACATGTTGGCGACGCTCTCGTGAGCAGAGTACATTCAAGCCTCTACACAGGGCATGGGCCTCCTCCACAAGCTCACTCCAACTTGCCTCTGTCTCCTTCTCCACAAGCCAAGTCCCACCCACTAGCCTGGGCCAGGAATTTATTATCCTGGCTACAAGGAGAATCACCTGGAGAGGCTGTAACCAGCAGGGCTGAATTCCAGAATCATTAAACAACAACTAGAAGCTGGCTGAATCTCTCCCTCACTTGATGATAACTGACAGCAGGGTAGACACCACGGCAAGTTAGCTTGTTCTTCAAAGTGGGAGAGATAGAAAGCCCAGTCAAGTACTTCTCTCAAAGTGCAGATTCTTGAACCTCACATTACTCCGACTAGCTGACGCTTTCTCAGGCTTGGGACTGGGACTCTCCAATTGCACAAACTGGCAGCTTCTACGGCTTGAGAAGTGCTCTGCTAGCCATTTTCTGGCGGATATGGTACATCTCCCACCTGTGTAGCCTTGGCTTCCAGCTTACAGGGTCTGTTCCCTATCTTCTCTCATCTCGTCTCGACCTTTGCCCACAAAATAATGATACATAAAAACAGAAACATTAAAAAGTGGGGTTTTTTTTTAGTATTCAGTTGAAGTACCCATTCTACCTACCACATTTAATCTTTCTAACATTCTTTGTTTACAGTGCTTATTATCCATACTTTTATCGGAGTAGTTCACCTCTAGCCTAGCCCTTTACTGAATGTATTTTGGGGAACCTTAAGATCTGCTAGTTGAAATTGAGTTTGCCAGGTGCAATATCTGATTCACGAGAATATCTCCACAGGACCTGGCATGTGTTTTCAACAACGAGTTGATGAATGTTTACTGTTGGAATTGAATAACAAACTATTTCTACCCTGTGCTGTCCTTGATAAAGATTGCCGACCACTGTTCCTGAATGTGTTTGGTGATGAGAGGCAATGCTGGGAAATTAATCTTTTTTATAATAAAAATCTCCAAATATCTAATAATTTTCTAATGTGTGCTGCTGAATTACATGTGTGTTTACTTAGTAGTTTATGTATGCACCTCAGCAGTTTCTATAGACCATTCCTATGAATTAAATTTTGTCCCCCAAATATGTATGGGAATCCTAATCTCTAGACTAAGGTGACCAGATGTCCCGCTTCTTAACAATTTTTCCCATGTCCCGCAGCATTTTTTAAAAGTCCCGATTTTTGGAAAGAATGCACAACAAGCTAGGGTATATTGTTTTTGGCTGCCATGTGGATATTTCACCAGGATATGAGTTTTATCAATGGTGTACCACTTTTTTCCTGCTGTACCAATGTTAAAATCTGGTCACCTTACTCTAGACCTATCAATGTAATTCTGTTTAGAAATGGTGTTTCCTTTTTTAATGAAACCAAGTGAGTGTAGAGTTTGCCTAAATATAATCACTTTTGAGTTAAGAAAAAGAACAAATTACACACAGGTCTATGCACAAACTGAGAAAGAGAAGTGTCAGGAGAATGTTTCTGCAAAACATTAAGAACAAAGATGCTGAACATCATCTGTAGACTGAGTGATGATAAGATCCCTGTGAAGTTTAGAAAAGACTGTATTGTTTTCAGATGTGGTGAAGTAAGTCATAAGTGAGCAATTGTAGGCAATTTTTTAAAAACCTCACAAATAATTATTGAGTCATTTTCTCAGCTTCTAATTTCTGGAATAATTTTACTTGTATATTGTTAATACCAGAGCCTTAGGTTGTAGAGCAAACCTCACTATCTTTGAGTGACCAACTCTTGCAATCCTTTAGGCCAGAGTAGAACTACTCTGTAGGATTTCCAAGGCTGGAAATCTCTCAAGTGGCTGGTGCTCTTGAATCACTGACCTTTGGTGAGAAGGCCAACATTTTTCCCATTATGTCACCAAACATCAGGGGGAAAATATGCTTCAATTATTTTTAATGACATAAGTATATTTTATAACTGTATTGCTTTAGAATTATGATTTAGAGCTTATGAAAATACAATTTTAAATAGTAGTGTAGTTGACTTCTTCAAGATAAAATGTAACAAATTTATAGTTAAGTAAGCTTAAACTTACTGTGAAGACTTGTCTTAAAACATTTACCTTTACACAGATTGGGATATTTGTTCTGAAAATCATAATTAGTACACAAATACAGAGAGACGGTCTACAATCATGTATCCTATTTACCAAAAAAACCCTAAAGTATATCTAGGGAGTTTGCCATGTCAACCATCTGTCAGCTTTACAAGTATATCCAACTGAAAATGTGCCACTTAGGGGTCAGGGGAAGGACTCACTCCAACACCATAATTCTGAGGTGTTTGTTAGAATACAGTCATTCAATCAAGAAGTTGAGAATTGGAATATACTCTGGCCCTTTAAGGCAGCTGACATTCCAACTGACTCCTGCACCACAGAAATCAGAAAAGAACACAGGCAGTTAGAAGAGTGATGGAGGTCAAGTGGGGCATTAGGAGGTATTGCTAAATAAAAGATGTACCTGAAGAAAAAAATGAAATGTTAAGTTGATCTGAAGTAAAAAAAAGAATCATAAAAAGAGTAAGTTAAAAATAACTATTTCATTTGAACCATATAAGGAGAAAGTGGGGAAAGAATGAAGAACATAAGAGAAAGAAGAACCATTTCTGAGACTTCTTGATAGGAAAAAAAAACAAAAGCCAAAATTTGTTTTTCTTTAAAGGTTACTATTATTATTACCCAAGAAGCAATACTACCTTTATGAATAAAGGTTAAATAGATGCATATTAGGATGTAGTGACCTCCAGATTTTTAATGGACCAGTTAAATTGATAAAAGAAATTAGACATTATTATAAAATTCTAAGTTATTAATTTTAAAGATTATGGACAATCTATAATTATTATATAAATGAAGTGATAGTTTACTATGCTATCAGAATTGCCCACAGTAATATTCCTATATTCCTACTGATAACACTCAGAATTATACCCTTAATAGGCATTTTCATAAAGAATACATAGCTCTATCTTGTGTTTAGATAGGAGATTTTAAAGAATTAATGTAGAAATTCAATTGAACAAGAATGGAATTTTTCCACAAAAATTGTGTATGTAGAAGCTAGAGAATGAGAAAAAATACTGTAGATTAAAGGAGGAAATAATCACAAAAACAGTGAACACGTTTACTAATCGGGAAAATTCTCTTTTACCCTCACACACAGACATTTTGGAGAGCTGCCCCACCCTCACCCTAAGACATGATTGTCCTATATTTCTTATTAAAATTGAAAAAAAAGTCATCATTTGAATCATGTTTTAACATTGTATCATTTCTAAATAGTTGCTAATCAGTACAACGGAGAAGGATTTTGTAACTCAATATGGGATTTGTCAAACTGTAGTTTATTTTGTTTTTTGTCAGAAACAAGAAAAAAAACCTGCATGCCTCTCGGAAGTGATACCCGGATATATAAGCACTGTGAGAGGCTGACACCTGGAATCGACAGGAGGCAACAGCCCTCGTCCTGTCCTCCATGGACCACCGCGCCCCCAAGACCGGCAAAAAACCGCCGCTGGAGTCCACGCTGCTGCCCCAGGTGCCACGCAGCAACTACTTGCACACTCAGGAGGAAAAACAAAGGCTGCAGCTAAAGAAATTCCTCATGAATAGGATGTTTCTAATCGGCAATATACAAGCACATACAGAAAAAAAGGACATTGCTGATTACTATGAAAACGTGTTCCAGTTAATTTCGAAACATCACCTGGGAGAAACGGTGACAGGATTATTGCTCATATATCCCACCTCCATTCTTCATATCCTGGAGTCGTCCAGTGGTACACTGTTCCGAATTCTTTTAGATTATCTTGACCATAAAAAGGGTGAAAGCGAATTTTTAATCCAAGGATTGAAAATCATAGTCATGTCTCATAACATCCCATCGCGACTCTTTATGCAATGGCATGTCTCAGTAATAAATGTGCCTGTTATGTATCTCGATGATGTGACACAGTCCCAGTCCATAGAAGAGGTCGTCACAGAATTTCTCACCCAAATTCATAAACTGGGACTCCACCTTTTTAAGTCTGTTAAAGTGGGCGCTAAAGGGCCAGGTGATAACTTGCACCAAATTGCACCTGAACTATTAATCCCAGAACAAATAATAAAGTGCTTGGGGAAAGCTGAAGAATTTCTGGACCCAGAAACATTCATAAAAATGTATAATAACCCCATACACATCACTCTGGATTCTGAAGTAGTATGGCCAGCGCCTACACGTTTCTACGTGTGAAAGGTGATGTAGTCCTATCACTTCAGGAATTTGTTACATATGAAAATAAATGTTTAAATTTTCCTTATATTTATTTAAATAAAGGCACAGAACACAGCAATATGCACACAGGTAATTTTTATAGAGCATGGTGAAGTTTCAAGTAAATTTACAAATTTATTTATTCACTCATGGTATCATATGAAGGAATTTCAAACAGTTCATGGAAAAATTCATTATCCTTTAATGCCATTTCTATAAACTTTTCAAAGTACTCAGATATATTATTTTAGTAGGAGACGAAGTTTAATACATTCTCATATAGGAGTACTACACATCCCTAAAAATCAGTGATGAACGCGTGAAGCACATTGCCGTAAGGGAAGAATTCGAGGAAATTATGCTAAGCAAAGTAAGTCAAGCACAAAAGGACAAGTACAACATGAGGCCACTGAGGTAAGCTTAAAAATGCAAAATGGGTATAGGGGAAAAGCTACTGTATACCTACATTCTGGGGGTGAGCTCCAGGTACTATGGCAGGGGCCAGACCCAATCCAGGGATACATATGGCAGCCAACTAAAAAGGAGGGGAAAAGATAGAGGGGGGAAAAAAAGACATGGGTAGCAGGGGAACAGGGCACTAACCCACCCAAGGGAAGGGTGTTGTTTATATCTCTACAGGGGAGGGAGAGAGGGACAAGATTTCCACCCTTTGTGCCAAGACATGAGTCCAACATAGGGACATGGAGCAGGGAACCAATAGGTCTGTGGGATGGTCACATCCCAACTATGTGGACACCCCCCCCCCAACCCCCCACCCCCACTCTCACTTCAGAGGCCAGCACTGAAACTACAGCACAGGGAGAGGGGAGTGTCTGATCAGAGCATACAGGAGCAAGAAGGGGGGAAGGAGAGAGAGGGGAACACAACCTGGCCCCCAAGCCCCAAGGACGATATTCCTGCTCTGAGCACCCAATGCACAGAAAGGACCAAAGGACCAGCCCCACCATGAGACAAAACCCATATCGCTCTGAGAGACAACACTGGAGGCACAGTGCGGGAATTTTGCCCAGTCTGATCCCACCACACTGGGGTGAAACACTAAAACAGAGCAGCAAGGGGAGCAAAGTCCCAAGGGAATACCAACAGTAGAGTTTGGGGCCAGGGCGTGGCACCCTATCAGACTCAACCATAAAACACTCCTAAAGGTCAATAAACAGATGTGGAACTATTTATAGGCTTTTTTGGGGGGTCATTTTTTTGTTGTGTTGTTTTGTGTTTTGTTTTGCTCTGCCTTTTTTGTGCTAATTATTGTCGCTGCATGTCTATCTAGATAAGATAGGCGGGATAAACAATCCAGAGGAGAAAACAGAAATTTCTTCTCTGTTTCTTTAAATACTGTTGATGGTCTTTTCTTCCTTACTCTTTGTAATTTTTATCTTTATATTATTATTATTGTTTTCTTCTCTCTGTTTCATTTTGGTTTGTGTTTGTTTCTGTAAAATTTCCCAGTTTATGAAGCACAGAATAGTGGGTGCATAGGGACAATAACTGATAAAATGATTTATTGGGAACGTGGGGAATGGGGAGCAATCAGTGAATACGGGAAGGAGGAGGGAGCATTAGAATTGATTGTGATAAGGATGTAGAACTGTTTTTTAAGCGATTGTGGAAGTGTATGGTATGTGAAGATTCTATCAAGGAAACTGCTAAGAAAAGAAGAAATGACCTATAGTTACTGTGGATGAGTTTTTGCTTAGGGGGTGATTTTGGGAGGGATATCAATAATGGTTGTAAAACATGAATATTACCAATGGCACTGAATTGTACATGTAGAAGTTATTGAATTGGAGAATGCTTTATTATGTATAGTTTTACCACAATTGAAAAAAATGATTACATGAATAACAATGAGTACAAGAAGAAGAAAAGGTTCTAAATTTGATTATGGTAATGATTATAAAACTCCTTGATATGATTGAACTAGTGAAATGTGTGATATGTAGATGAAGTGCCAATAAAAGTTTTTTAAAAAGCAATGAGAGATAGAGAAAGACTTACAACTTTATGTTGAGGTGTAATTTATATTGAAGGCTGAGTATTTTATCTTCTTCAAAAAGTATTTCCATTCCTATTTGCTTTTAGCAAATAAGGTGCATCATTTGTATATCACACATTGTTAATGAGCTGCTTTCCATCCTGATGATTTCCTGATATCATGGGTGGTTTTTTTGTTTGTTTGTTTGTTTGTTTGTTACTTTTTTCCTGAACCAGCTTCTTGGATTATTTGTTCTGCATTCAGATTAAGTATGGTGAAAAGACACAACACTGATATATATGTTTCCTGTTTTAAATCACCCATCACTCCTTTCTTTTTCTTAAACAACTGCTTCTTAGTTTATTTATAGATTCTGAAATAGCACAATTAATTTGTTTTGAAATTCCAATTTCTGACAATGTTACCCACAATTTGTTATGATCCACATAGTCAAATATTTTGCATAGTCAATAAAACACAAGTAAACATGTTTCTGGCATTCCCTATTTTTCTCCAAGATCCCTCTGGCATCAACAATGATATCCTTTATTTTATGTCCTTCTTGTGAATCTTGAATTTCTGATGCATGTACTGATGCAACCATTTTACAAATTGCCCTCAGCAACAGTTTGCTTGCATGTGATATCAATGATATACTTCAATGATTTCTGAATTCTGTCGGGTCCCTTTCTTTGAAATGGTACAAATATATATCTTTTATGGTTGGTTTTTCAAGTAGCTATCTTTGAAATTTCTAGGCATAGACATGGGAGCCCTTCCAGTATTACATTCACTTGTTGAAAACTCGCAATTGATATTCATTCAACTTCTGGAGCCTTGTTTTTCAATAACGTTTTCAGGGTAGCTTAGACTTGTTCATTCAACATCATCAGTTCTTGATCATATGCTACCTCCTTAAATGATTGAATATTGACCAACTCATCTTGGTACTATGATTCTGGGGGTTCCTTCCATTTTACATACCTGTTTCTTCTATCTTTCAATATACTGCCCTTTATAATCTTTTGACATTGTAACCGAAAGCTTAATTATTTTCTCCAGTATTTTCACCTTTCGAATTTTCTAATTCAAGGTCTTTTTACATTTCATTTAAGTATTTTACTTTTTCTTCTTGAGACTCCCTTTTAAATACTCTGTTCTCTTTTATTTCATCGTCTCACGCATTCATTTTAGCTGGTCTACTGACAAGAACAAGTTTCAAAGCCTCTTCAGGCATCCACCTTGGTCGATGCTTCATGATTTTTAGTGACCTTTGATTTCCTCATGTATGATGATCCCAATGTCATTACACACCTCACACGGTCTTCTGTCATTAGTAGTGAATATATAGAATTTATCCTTGAGATGGTCTCTCAATTCAGGAGAATATACTCAAGGGAATGTTTTCACTCTCATGGATTTCTTCAGCTTCAATTTTACCTTGAATATGAACAATTAATTGATGGTCTGTACTACAATTGCTCCTGGCCTTGTTCTGACTGATGCTATTAAGCTTCCTAATAATCTCTCTCCAGGGTTGGTCTATTTGATCTATGTGTATTCTATACAGTGAGGTCTATCAATGTAGTCATTGTTGGCAGAAGGCATTTTCAAGGAATAGAGTATTGGTCTTGCCAAAATTTGTCATGCAATTTCTTGCATAGTTTCTATCACTGAGGTGATATTCTCCAACTACCCATTATTTGGAACAAACAATCATGAAGAAAGCAAAAAGTCATTAAAAAGGATAGAAGAAATGGAGCAAAGAGGATGTCAGAAGAACTCTGGAATTTTCTCTAAACGTAGAGTTGCAGTGAAAATGGAAAGCAAATGGAAACAATCATAAAGTTAAAGACCTGAATTGAAAATTTTAAATGACAGCTCTAGACAACAAAGTAAAATATTATATGGAAGTGAGCAAAGACCTTGAGTTAGAAAACAAAAAAAGGAAGAACACGCTCAACATATCTTAAACTGAAGAACTGAAGAAAAAATTCAAGCCTCAACTGCAATCTTGAAAGATTATATGGGCAAAACATTGAATGATGAAAGAATCATTAAAGAAGCTGGAAATAATACAGTCACTCTTCCAAAAAAGAACTAGTCCACATTCCACCATTTTAGGAGGTATCGTATGAACAAGAACCAAGAGTACTGAAGGAGGGAGTTCAAGCTGCACTGAAAACATTAGCCCAAAGCAAGGTTCCATGAATTGATGGACTACCAATTGAAATGCTTCACCAAGCTGATGAAGCACTGAAAGCACTCACTTATCTATGCCACAAAGTTGGAAAGACAGCTACTTAACCAACTGCCTGGAAGAGATCCCTATTTGTGCCCCTTCCAAAGAAAGGTAACCCAAAAGAATGTTCAAATGATAGAACAATATAATTAACATCACATGCAAGTAAAATTTTGCTGAAGATCATCCAACAAAGGTGGCAACAGTACACTGGCAGGGAGGTACCAGAGGTTCAGGTTGGATTCAGAAGAGGACATGGAACAAGGGATGTCATTGCTGATGTCAGATGGATCCTAATTGAAAGTAGAGAATACCAGAAAGATGTTTACTTGTGTCTTATTGAATATGCAAAGGTATTTGACTGGGTGGATAAAAATAAACTATGGAAAACCTTGAGAAGAATGGGAATAATTCCAGAGCACTTCAGTGGGCTTATGAAGAACTTGTACATGGATCAGGAGGCAGTTGTGCGAACACAACAAGAGAATACTGCATGGTTTAAAATCAGGAAAAGTATGCATCAGGGTTGTATCCTCTCCCCATACTTATTCAACATGTATGCTGAGCAAATCATCAGTGACACTGGGTTATATGAAGAAGAATGTGACACGGGTTGGGGGAAGACTCATTAACAACCTACAATATGCAGATGACGCAACATTGCCTGCTGAAAACGAAAAGAACTTGAAGCCCTTGCTGATGAAGATCAAGGAGTCCAATCTTCAGTATAGATTATGACTC